ACCACTTCCATAAAGGAAACCTACGCTGTTCACGTCTTTAAAATCTCTCTCCCCACGCTTTTAGCTATTCCATTTTTCTGAACCTTCTTTACTTCAAGGTTGGGCTCCTCAATTGATTTCCTAATTTGCTTATTTTTTATTATCCATTTTTCATTTTGTATGTCTTTGAAGCTTAGAGATCTCCCTCATCTATTTCTTAATTTAAAAAACTGCTTGTGTAGGGTGGCGCCTGGATGGCTCAGTTGCTTAGGCAATCAACTCTTGATTTCAGCTCAGGTCACAAGCTCAGAGCTGTGAGATGGGGCCCCACATGGGGCTCCACACTTGAGACTCTCTCCCTCTCCCTTTACCCCTCCTCGAGTGCTCCTTCTCTCTCAAAAGCATCAAAAGATGCTTATGTATTTTAACATTTTTTCCTTCATAATCTCATGTCCTCATGATCTTTTTCTGCACATACTAAGGGCTACAATAAAGACAAGCATATTTAGCTCTTGTGTTCCCCAACATATTTGATTTTTCTCTGAAGGATTTTAAAAGAATTATGTATACATCTTTTATGGGATTTATTGTTATGTGTATTAGGGTTCTTATTCTGTTGTGGCTGGTACTTATTTTCTATTTATTTATTTATTTAGGTAGTAAACAATGATGTAGTTTTACTGTTAACATTTAGTCATTAACAATGTCGGAAACATGACAGCAGCAATCTTTAAGAGCTCAAATTAGTGTAAAAGACAGGATGACAAAACAATCTGAGTTTTCAGGTGGTGATTAAAGTGCTCCTTTTCTCATGGTAAGTAAAAAGGAAATGAAAGTCATCATCAGTCACTGGCAACAATCATGATAAGAGGCCTTTTAGGGCAAAATTTAATAGTACGAAGAAGTTTACAAAAATAGATCGATGCTATTTGGGGGAGTAATACTGGAATTTTTTCTCGATTCAGTTTGATGTACTGTACCTGGTCATACAAAAATTACTTCAAATTCAAACTTTATAAAAAAGGGAGAGATGAAATGAACTTATCTAGACGACAGATCTGGCAAAATATAAGAATGAAAAAAATTCTACCCAGGGCACTTATTTCATGTCCAGATGTCAACACCATTCTCAGTTGGTGGCGCAGCTTGTACTCTTCCCATAAGCAATCACAGGTTTGGAGTCAGTCATGCAGTACAAAGTCACATAGTCAGAGTCTTCTTTCTGATGCAACATGACAAAGTTGTTTCTATTTCCTTATTGAAATGCCAACTGGTTGTCTATTTTTCTTTATCTCATTTATCCATATTCACAAATTAACAAATAGCGTCAACAATTATTGTAGGTGAAGGAGGGTATTGCTGGATCAAAGGCTCTATAAGACGTCTTTACTGATTGAATCAGAAGGCTTATTGAGTTCAACCCTCACACCTTTTTCACCTGTTAGATATTTTACTTTAGCTCGTGCTCTCTCATCTGCATCAAAATACCAAACAGTTATTGCGTACCTTGTAGACTATGCTGGTTGTACTTCGTGAGGGTTGCGCCAGTCAGACCAGAAAAACAGCAGTCTATCAAATTTGGGTTCAATGTCAGCAAACTGGGCTTTGCCTTCTGGAAAAATTTGAAGTATACCTCCACTTACCTTGGCATCCCAGTCTTTATTAAAATAATATATTCATGTCACACATCTTCCATCTCCGTTTGGATTATCAACATGACGTACATAACCTGTTCCATTGCCTGGATAACAAGCAACCATGGCTTTCGTCCGTCCATTGATTTTGTAGTTGCCCAGCTTTCCGTTACAGTGGCGGATCAGGTCGTCCATGCTGCTCATGAGCAGCCCGATGGTTTCGCAGCTCCTTGCCCTCGATCCAGGTGATCTCGTCACCCCGGATGTCCTTGGAGGAGTTGCTCTTCTGGCTGACCAGCTGGCCGTCCGTGAACTTCTCTCTTTCTATTTAGTGTACAAAAATGCTGTTGATTTCATGTGTTGAACTTCATTGTAACAATCGTGCTATACTCATATTATTTCTGTTTATGATTTTCCTGGATTTTCACTTACGATAAGCATATGATGAGAAAATAACTGTGATATAATTCATGCCAAATTTCAGTTTCTCTTTGTTTTGGTGTAAAATGAAGACTACCTGGATAACCTGTCCCTGAATTTAATGGGAATGTTTCTGAAACTTTACCACGACATATCCTCTTGTATGCTTTAGATAGACATGCTTCATTAGGTAAGGAAGATCTCTATTTGCTCAAAGTTTTAAATCAGGAAACAGGTGTTGAATATGGTCAAGTGAACTTTATCTATTAAATGATAATTTGGGTTATTTCTTCTGTTGGTACCTTTTATTGCACAAAAAATGGCCAAATGTGGACCATCTTTATATTATTTTTTTCCAGCTTTATATTCTTAACCATCATTGGTATTATTGGTTTTCTCTTCCTTTTGCCTCAGATTCCAATATGGCTATTACTGAACCTGTCTTTTTAATAATTTTGATATTTTCATCATGAATTGCTCTAGTTTTTAAAAATACTGCATTGCAATGTTATTTATCTTGGTTACTGCTTTTTTTAATGTCTTCTCGAATTTTGTGCTTGAGGCCTCAGTTTCGACCCAACTCTTCTGGCAGTCAGATCACAAATTTCAGAGAGTACTTATGCCAGTTGGATACCTGGAGTAGCCTTGTGACTCAAACCTGGTTAATCAGAAAGTCACATTTTTCTAAGCATGATATTTGGGTCAAGGCTGGCCATAAGATATTTGGGTCAAAAAGAGTATGGCCAGGATCTTTTTTTCAATAAGAAAAAAAATTTTAGTTCTATATTCACAGCAAAATTGAAGGAAAGGTCCAGAGTTTTCCTGTATATCTTCTGTCATGACATATGCATGGCCTCCCCCATTGTCACCACCCCCAGCGCAGTGGTACTTTTCTTACAGTTGATGAACCTGCACTGACACATAATGATCATCCAAAGCCCATAGTTTACACAGGTTCAGTCCTGGTGCACAATCTATGGATTTGGACAAATATGCAATGACGTATTTCCATCCTTACGGTACCGGGTATTTTTACTATTCTGAAAATCCCATGCTCCATCTACTCATCCTTCATTTCCTACTTACCCCTGGTAACCACTGATCTTTTACCATTTCCATAGTTTTGTCTTTTCCAGGACATCATATTTTGGGGAATCCTACAGCATGTAGACTTTCCAGATTGGCTTTTTTCACTTAGTAACATTCCTTAAAACTCTTCCATGTCTTTTCATGGTTTTGTAGCTCGTTTGTTTTTGATATTGTATAATATTGCCTTGTCTGAATATAACACAGTTTATCCATCCATCTGCTGACATCTTAGCTCCTTCCAAGTTATGGCCATTATGAACCAAGTTGCTACAGATATGTGTGCAGGCTTTTGTGTGGACAAACATTTTCATCTTATTTGGGTAAATAGCAAGGAGTATGATGGCTAAATGGTACATAAGAATATGTTTGCTTTTGTAAGAAACTGCCAAATTGTTTTCCAAAGTGGCTATAACCATTTTTGCATTCCTACCAATAAAAAACGAATTGCTCTTGCTCTGTCCACATGTTTGCCAGCATCTGGCCATGTCCATGTACCTGATTTTAGCTCTTCTAATAGATGTGTAGTAGGAGCTCACTGTTGTAATGTGTATCTCACTGATGACCTGTGATGTGGGGCACCTTTCATATGCTTATGTCATCTGTAGATCTTCTTTGGTGAGGTGTCTGTTAAGGTCCTTGGCCCACTTTTTAATAAGGTTATTTTTTAGTTTTAAATGTTCTTTATATATTTTGAACACACAATCTCTTATCAGATGTATCTTTTGAAATATTTTCTCCCTGTTCATGGCTTGTCCTCTAGCCTCTTGATATTATCTTTTGCAGAACAGAAGTTTTTAATTTTAGTGAAGTCCAGCTTATCAGTTATTTCTTTCATGCTTTGTGACTGAGGCCAGGACTTCAATTCTTTGAGATAAGAGCATCTAAACTTTTCTAGAAAACATTACCTGAGAGAATGTGGGCCTTAAATTCTAGAAGTCATCTTGAAACACTGTGAGATTAAAAAATAAAGGCAAAAAATGTTGGGCAGCAGAATCAGGAATAAAGGTTGAGTTTCCTTGACAATATGATGCTGTGAGTCCATCTATACTGAAGTAAGATACCTTTGGCCTTTCTAATTTTGACCAGAATTTTTGGATGAGGAAATCCTATTCATTGCCATAATGCTCTATTTTATTATATGACCAAGTGCCTGCACATCTCTCTCTTCTCTTTGATGAAATGAATTACCATGTATCACTACTCCCCTAAAAAGTGTTCTGTATACTTCTAGCCAAGACACCAGCTATGTGGTTGTAGTTCAGAGATTGATCCTAAGGGAATAACAAGATCTTCTCTATTCCATAGAGCAGGATGCAGGAAAAGCAATTCAGGTATGTTTATGCTAAAGTTCTTGGGAAAGAACCGAAAGTCAAAAGTTGGAAACTAAATTCAAATGATTCATAAAAGGGAGACAAAAATAGGAGCAGTTGATAAAAGAACTTAAGATTTCTCCTAAGTAGTTGATTAATGTCATTTTCTTCCTTCTGGCACGGCAGTGGGCCAGGACACCTTCAATAGTCAAGATTGGAAGTCACTTATAAAATGTATAGTTACATGATATATAATTATATAAGATGATTAGTAGAAATATGTATGGAATGGAGTATGGATTGTAAAGCATAGTGTATTAATTTTTCAACAAATAAGTCGTATGAATTCACATTTGTAATTGAAAGGAAATCATTAGCAATTTCCAATAAAGGAGGTAAAAGTCAGCTTATGGAACAATTTTTTTCTTTGTCTTAGGACTCAATCTTTGTAATAACTGAAGAACACTATATTTTTTAAGGTATAAAAAACTTCCCGAGTATAACAGTTATACTTTGTTAATCAAGATAATATTTTATTTCTTATAATGTAAAAACTGAAATCATTTGAGCAGTTTTCAGCACGGTCTGTTAATTTTGAACATAGAATAAACAAAGTAGGTAAATATATATAAATGTTGTAGAATGTAATTCTGTATAAAATTCACAGTTAGATGTTAGATTATGTAAAACAAGGCAAGACAATACCACCAGAGGGCTTCTTATTTAAAAACACAGTAAAAATAATACTCGTGCATTAAACATTGCAAACTATCTCAATGTGAGTCTTTCTTGATTAAGTAATGAACCCATGAATGGTTGTTGGAGAAAACATTCAACTCAGTAATGTGTTATTTATATGTCATTGGTGTCAACTTATCACTTGACCTAAGGACATGTTACCCTTTATTTAAACGTATTGCTATCCATGTATAAATGACAACAAACCATATGTCACAGGGATTTTGATATCTAAAAGTCTCAAATTCCATAGCAAAGATCCAGTTTAAGGCAAATATATATAGTGTATATTTGTATTATACATATGTATTATATAATCAAGATATAAAATTTCTAAGTGAACAAATTGACACTATTTTATAATGATATAATTTTTAAGCCATAGGATGAAGTGATTTGTAATGATATCTTAGGACTTCATATTTAGCCTCAAAACATAGTGATTTTTATAGTTCACATCAGCTGGACCCTGAATTCATGTAGATAGTCGGGAAGAGATCATATTTTTAGGTTGGAAATCAGCATGAACAAGCTGAGTAATTAAAGATGTATTCAGTGAACAATGTATATACCCTTTTAATTAAATTGAAATAGTCAAGAAAGAAAACAGTAGTTAAGTCAAAAAATATACATATCAAAATGAAATTGTGGGGGATGGGGTAGGGGTAAGTACCAATTAGTGAGTCCTTGGTGAATTTTGAGAGGTAGAGAAATATATTGAATTGATTCTTAGGAATTAAGTCAATACTGATGTGAAGAATGCAATAGGGACAAAAGGCCTGGAGCTGAAGCTTATGAAAAAGGAAGCAGCAGTGTTGAGAGACTGGTCAAATATGTGTATGAAGAAAACTGAGAAGTCAAGATTGGGTTCAAACTTTCAAGGTTAAGGAACAAGCGGAATTCTAATACTATTGCTAGAGAGAAGTCAGCTAAACTAAGTGCATGAAGTAGTTGTTTCTGGATGAAAAGTTCAAATTTAAATACAAAGTTGGAGATGAACATTATCGAACTGAAATTTCTAGGAGGCTGTTGAAATGCCAGAGGGTACGTGGCTCAGCAGAGAAAGGAAGGAATACAGGAAGGGAAGGCTATTCACTGAGAGTGAATAAGTACATAGATTTTCTAGTAGAATCTTCTTATTTTATAGAAATAATATGCCTTTTTATTCCCCCGCCTTACACATGAGTTACTGGGTTCTACTATGTGCAAAGTCTAATGATAAATGAGTAAGTTTCATTAGATTTAAATATTCTTACTATTTGGCATAAGAGAGATTTTTGTTAAACAATAAAATTAGGAAGTACATGAACAATTTTCTTTTGATTGCCATTAAAAACTCCCCTCCTACCAAGCTTCCCTTCGCCCCATGATCTGTACTTAACACACAACTGTTCAACCATTTTTTACTAATATCATGGATCATAAGCAAGTAAAAAAATAGTTAAATCAATCAGAATCAGGCAGGCACATAATAAAGTTGACTCTTTGTTCAGATAGTAGTTTGGCTCAAGATTGATTTGAGGTACTGGTTTATGCCAAAGGAGACAAAGTATGTGTAGGGAGGGAAGCACATGATGGAATTGTATTAGTATCAGCTCTAGTTAAATGCATAATAGAGTGATATCCTTACAGAAGAAAGTGGTTGGCAGCACTTTAGATGTGAAATCCAAAACGTGCTTGATCTTTAATAGCTGTATTTTTTAATCTGTGCATAGGTTATAAAGGAGATCATCATATACACGACCATATTTTCAAATGGCTGGTCACCAAAGGAAAAAGTGGACTGATCTGATGTGGCCAGTAATATGATAATTTATAGCCAATGGGAAATAGAAAAGGATTGAGAGAATAAGTAAATTCATAGTTGTCAGCCCTTGAGTATGCACTTTGAATAGACGAAGAAATGACTTCTGATACAAATGTATTAATAGCAGTTAATATGTACATAGAAAACTCATGGAAATATTCAGTAAAAGGATTTCACGAAAGAAAAAAAATATAGTGAAAAGCTTCATCCAAAATATTTAGAGCTGATGTAATAGTGTAACAAATTTATAGTTTTTTAACAAAAATTTTTTCATATACTATTTTCACGGTCTGCTTCTTTCTTTTTCTTTTGGTCTTAATTAATCCTCCTTTTGATATTCTTTGCATGAAACCTGCAGAAGGAAGAGAAACAATTATGCATAATAAAGTAATAGAGTGATACAATAAAACATTTTATCTAAAATGTTCTCAAATTTATCTTTTAATATTTAAAACAAAAAACTTGGCTTAAAAGCCTTTAATTCGTCTTTGTGCAGAACAACATATTTCTAAGGAAGTCACTTCACATATATAAGAATTAGCAAAAATGGATAAGCATGTTATTGATTTTTATTATTCACCTTCAGTTAGAAATTCATGCTCATTTTATTAAACCAAACATATGGTTGATGGAATTATAGGGGGTTTCTATTTATATATATTAAGACTCTATAAACATGCATTGTTTTTATATTCAGAAAAAAGTTAGTAACTACATTAATGTTGTGCATTATAAGATAGCCTAAACACATTTTGATATCATCACTTAAAATGAAAGCTTAGTGTGTAAATATTAAAAGAATAAAATGTTTTGTTTTAAATAGATTTTTCTGTGAAAGACACATTACAAGGAATTGTAGTTAACATCTGCAGCAATATCCTCTAAATGTAGTTGAAAGGGGGACATATAGTAGTTAAATTATAATATTTGGTTTCTTATTATAAATAGAATGAATTTCATAATATTTTCTTAAACTTTGTTCATAATTTCCATGCAGTTTGTTATCTTAGATGCTAGTGAATTAATAGGAAAGATGCCCTTGATACCTTTTTTGCAAGCTGTAAGGCATGCTTTTTTAGAAGTGAAATTATTTTCATTCCCTCCACATCCACTGTACTTAAAAGGGCGGCATTTCCCAATGACTGAATTATAGTAGAATCGGCTCTCGTTGGCATGACACAGCCCTCTGTCTGCTGGGGTCAGACACCAGGAAGGACCATAGAACTCTAAAAACATCAAGAAAACATGGTAAATCCTATATGGTGGTTACTCTGACACTTTCATATTATTTATTGTTTATTGATTACTGTTGTACGTACACCTACTATAAGACAATAAATAATCTGAATGAGTAAAAGTAGGACTCCGTGAAATTCCTGTATTTCAACTCTAGGAAAAGGCTTTCGTGTCCTCCAACTGTCCACCACAGTAAGACCTTCCTCTAGTAAATAAAAAAGTAGGTATATTTGTTAAAGGGCAGTGCTATGGTTTCTCTTGATAATGAAAAATCTAGTTGTATGTAATAAGGGAACCCACTATGCAAAAGTGTACAAAAATTTGTTAACCATATTCACTTTAACAAGTTATCAATGTTTGCCATATCATTTTTGTTCATGACTGTTCAACGGGAGGAAAAAGTCCTGCTGAGGAACCCTTATTCACTGTAGGACGTACACACTGATGCTGAGGAAGAGCTTGGGTTGGGTTGGGTTGGGTTGGGTTGGGTTTTCTAGATGATGTAACACAATCCCGGTTTCAAACACAGGAATTCAGGTGCAGCAAATTCTAACTTTCTGCTTCAGAGAAGGATCCCTGGAGAGTTGGTTTGATTTAGCAAGAAGGTTTTCTTGTGAATTGAAGCATCAGGTCTCCTTGAGTTAGATATTTTTGCAAAGGAAGGAACACTGCCAAAGCCAGTAAGATGGAACATTTACAGGTTTACTGGGACCAGCCACTTTACAAAAAGAAGAAAGAAAATGCAACCCGGGTGATTAGAAGGATCGCTCATTTTCTGAAGGCAAAGCAGAGAAATAGTTTCCATACAAGGGGAATTTTCAGGTCTTTCGGGAACTCCTGTCAACGAGGGGAAGCTGGTGCCCTCGCCGCAGACCTAAACCATTTGATATTAGTGAACCCAAACTGCAGGCAAGCTGCCCAATGGTGAGAAATCAATATAAGAAGACCTTGGTGGCTTTGCCAACTAGCGGGTTGTGGCACAGCAGATGCAGACAAAGAGGAAGCGCTAAGTGTACAAAACTGGCCGGAAACAGACCTTTGAGGAAGCCGGCCGATGAAGGCAATGGGTTGGGCAGGAGGCGGTAAGTGCTTTGAGGGCAAGCAAACCCCAGATGAAAAGACTGACAAAGAAATAGACTGAAACAATTTGAGGGGAAAATTCATGAGGGAATTACTTGATCTGATATGACTTAATGAACAATAGTATAATCCCAATTAGACTTGGAAAAAATAAGAATCTGGATTTACCTCCTTTTTTGATAATTTAAATAAAGATTAGAGTGTCTTGATATAATGGCTCATGTCATAGAGAAATTCCGGAAAATAGGAGTGGGAATATTATAGAAAGAATATAGAAGACATTGTAGAGAGATGAAAAGAAAATTCTGCGTCAAAATTCAAGAACTGTAATCACATAAAGAATACTGTATTATTTAGGTATTTGATTAGGTCTATAAACACTAATTTTAAAAATAAAACCTCCAGATCTGTAAAACTAAAGCATTCAAAATCCTATAGTCTATTTTATCTTTTATGTGCTTTTATTTGGGGGTTATAGTGCATGATCATCGCCATCATAAATCAAAAGTTGAACACTCTTGGGAGGAAGGCGGGCCTCACTCAGTAGAGGCTGTTGAAGTCCCTGCTCGCCCTAACGGCGTCTGTAGGATGGGTTTTCTGACAGTGAATAGAGCTCTACTGTAGCTGAGCCCTGCTATTGCACAGACTTTTCCAGCGTCTGGGCTCTGGATTCTCATGAATCCAGAACCTAGAATGTGAGATGGTTATCGGTTGCTACCACTTCTGTCTCCATGAGCTTCCAAAGTCATCACCTGTATCCAGAATCAAAAGAAACACTCCTCAAGCAACTAGCCTAACCCCAGAAGGAGAGAAAGGTGCTATTTTTAAAATTCTCAGCAAGTCCCCACAGATGCTTCCTAGCTGATGATGGGACTTCTACAGCAGTTTCATTTTGCATTTTGTACACATGATTTCCCGGCCCACAGTAAGTTGAAGATGGAATACATGGAGGCACCTGCGGGTTGTGCATGTCCTCTTCACAGATGTTGATTATCATGTCTTAATAGCAATGTTCTACCTAAAGTTTCTTATTCCAGGACAGAGAGAAATTTCTGACGACGCAAAGTAAATTCCTCCTTCTTTTCCCTCGACCTGTAGTACACCTGGCCACACAACAAAATCAAGGCTATTTCAAAATGAGAGCAAACTAGGTTGGAACAAGCAATGCCTGGACTGAGGGCAACCGTGGAGGCGGCTCCAAGACCACGGAGGCTACACCACAGGTTTGCTGGGGAGAGGTACCCTAGCTTCTGTCTGCTTTGGGTCCTCGAGTCTCCCACCGAGCGTCTGCCGCTCACCAAGTCTACTCAAAAGCCAAGGGAGAGGGTACAATGGAGGTACTGGACAAGCAAGGAGAAGGCAGGGGATCCGTTTGAAAGCAGACAGAGAGTTGACCAGCACAGGTGCCATTCGAGAGTGTCACTACCTGCTCATTTGTCCCTGGCATCAAGTCTCCTCTACCTGGCACTCTTGGCTGCTGCACCAGAGGATGTCTGCTACGCGGCTTCTGACTCCTGGGAACCGGTGTATAGACTTGAGCTGTTCCTCTTACCAGATACCGACTCCTACTCAAAAAGCATCTGTCCATGACCGACCCGATGACAGGTGTTCATCTACCTCACTTTGCCCTGACTTTAATTACCACCTGCACAGATCATCGAATACAACTCTCCTTTGACCCAGATCAATATTGGGGTTCCTAACACTAAAAATACAGTGGGTTAAAATTTGAAATTAATTGCAAAGAATGTTGTGATATATATATATATATATATATATATATATGACACGCACATATATATAACTTCTAAGTTATAACTGAAATTAATTGCAAAGAATGTGTTTTTTTATATTTCTATATATTTCTATATATATATTTATATATTTATAAGACCATTATTCTTCAGAACATGAATTATACTTCCTGTGTCAACTAATTCATTTCTCTAAAAATCATTTTTTAATTTATTTTTTATTTATTTATGATAGTCACAGAGAGAGAGAGAGAGAGAGAGAGAGGCAGAGACACAGGCAGAGGGAGAAGCAGGCTCCATGCACTGGGAGCCCGACGTGGGATTCTATCCTGGATCTCCAGGATCACGCCCTGGGCCAAAGGCAGGTGCCAAACCGCTGCGCCACCCAGGGATCCCTCTAAAAATCATTTTAAGTCTAAGTAGCTATGATAGTCATTGGATTGGGGCATCTGAGTGGCCCAGTCAGGTAAGCATCTGACTCTGGATTTTGGCTCAGGTTGTGATCTCAGGGCCGTGAGTTTGAGCCTGGTGTTGGGTGCTGTGCTGGGCATGGAGCCTGCTTGCGATTCTCTCTCTCTCTCTCTGTCCCTCCCCACTCCTCTCTAAAAAAGAGAATATCATAAGATTACTTTAGCATAGGCAGTAATATCATTAAAATAATGAAGCAGCTGGTTTCTCAAGGACATTTTAGCCCCAAGCTTTTTTGGGTCCTTGATCATCATCTGTTTTGATCTCCAAAGGTGAGGAAATTGAGGTTCTTGCACCTTATGAGGAGATACGGTTGACTGTTTTCAATGAACATATTTATCCTAGATAAATACAGACACTCACCTAGTCAAAATCCAAACATGAATATCTAGAATGAAAGAAAATATAAAGGTTTTGAAGTAGTTGCACAATGTAATTTTGGGGTCTAGATTATATTCATTCACAGGTATTTACGATAGAATAAAAAGACACTAACCTGACTTCTCTGTTCATTTTCCAAGGGGGATTTAATGCCCAAACGCATTCTGTCTTGATCTCGCCACTAATAACGAGTTGAATAGCTTCCACTTAGAGGATCTATGATGGGCTTCAGAATTCAGGATCCACTGCCATGATCTAGTAAGGCTGCTAACCTGTAAGGTGGCGCTCCAAAATCCGTTTTATATTTAAAGTGGCTTATGTAAACTTTCTCTGAAACGTATACTGTGAACTTCACATGTTACAGTCACTTTGAACCTTTTCCATGGTGTCTTTCTGTCCCCATTTTACATGCCTAATATTTAGGCTTTCATTTTACCAAACCAATGTAGGATTTATGAATTACTCCATGACTTGCTGACAATTTTTTTTTGTCTTCTGACATTGTTTTAGAGAATTGAATGATAAATCTTCCCTTTGAATAACACATTTTCCCCATGATTTTCTAGCAAAGAAAAATATAAAGATTTTAGCTTTGCAATTATAATTTACCATTGTAAGACACTGAATTAATACAAAAGTATGTAACAAGTATAAAACAAAGTTTCTCTATAATTTGACTCCTGTCACATAACCATTATCAGTGTTTTGGTGTGTATTTTCCTCCAAATTATTTGCATAGGCAAACACGGATTAGCATTCTACTCTGTGCCTTTTTACTTGATAATATTTTGTGAATGTTACCATATTTGTTCATGTATATCTCAGTCTTTTTAATATGAAGAGTGTTCATTTAAAGTATATTTAGTCAACCCATTACTCATGAGGATGTAGGTTGTTTTTTTCAGTTCCAGAAATAATGGCTCATGATCATCCTTGTACACTGGTCCAGATATTTCTAAAGTTCTTTCTAAAATTAGAATTGTGCAAAAGCTATACTCAGTTTGTAATCTGGTACATGCCGCTGAATTTTCCACTAAATGTTTATATAAATTTATACTTCCACGGTGATGTTTAGAAGTCCCTAAACAAACCTGTCACCCAGAAATTTATTATTTACAGATAGTAAATCTATGCTATGGGAAAAGCAGTATCTCCACTCACTACCATGGGAGGATTGGTGTGAGATGGACAGAGACGGACATTCTGTCTCGAAGACAAAAATGTAGGGAATGGGGAAACGAGTACTGTGGAGCTTCCCCCCCCCCTTTTTTTCTTTTGTCTACACGTACAGTAACTTAGCTGAGAGT